CGCTGATTGAGGGCTTTGGTGTCAACGTTTTCCAGGCAGACAGCAAGAACCCCAGTCAGATCGTTACCCTGACCGAGTCCGAGATTAGGACAAGAGCTCAGGTAGCCGCTGGAAAATTGGGCAAGCGATGCTTTGTTGGATACCCGTTCTTGCAGGAGGCAAAGATTGTCAAGGTCACCGACGAGCTCTTCGACTACGAGCTCGACCAGAACGGAGAGGTTATCCAGAAGCATCTTGGCCCGAAAGAAATGCACTTCTTCGCCAAAGAGTCCCGCTACATTGAGGAGTGGCACTCCAAGCGTCTGGGCATCGTCATCGGCGATGTTGAGTCTTTGGTGCATGTCCATATGCTTAAGGGACTGATCAAGACTGAGGAGGGTGCCTTGATCAAGGAATATGACTTGAACCCCAGCATGAGAAGCGTCTATGCTTCTCAGACTATTGTTGACGAAGTCGTCAACGAGGACCAGCGCTTTATTGAGAAGGGTGCCGTCCCTATTGAGGAGGAGTACCCCGTCGGTACCCAGGCTTTCTTCTTGGGCGAGTACAACTATGGCCGGGCTCTCGAGGTCACTGGCCACGCCAACAACAAGGCCAACATCCGAGTCCTCGTCCTGAAGAACAAGGAACCCGAGTTCGCTAAACCCATCATCCAAGAAATGAAGCGCCAGAACCGATACACTCCGTCATACGCCGTCGCAAAGATGCTCGGCCTTCACCCCTTGATTCTGAGCAAGATCCTGTCTTCCTACCAAGTTAACACCGTTGGTGGTCTTCGCGTCAACCTTGGTCTCAACTTGAAATTTGATGCGAAGAAGCAGAAGGTGCTTGGCTACTCTCAAAAATCGGACTCTGGCTGGGAGTTTAGTAACGCCGCTATCGAGCTTTTGGCCAGATACATTGCTGCCTTCCCGGATTTCTTCGCCGCCATTCAGCAGAACCCTCAGGCTAGCGATGTGAGCGATACCGACCTCTGGAAGGATCCTAAGGTGGGATCTCAGCGAGTGAAGGAAATCGGAGCCTGGCTCAAGGAGGCGCAGACCCGCAACTTCGAGAGAGTACCTTTGGAGGCTGAACAGCTCGACTCGGTTGTGGTCATGAAGCTTGCTGAGGCCGGTGCGCAGGCCTTTACCCAGTCTCACGAGGTTGAGGTCAAGAACATGAAGGGTGTTCCTCGCTCAGCTATTATGAAGCCCAGCGATGCTGAGCTGTTCTTGAGCGGCCAGAAGTTTGCCCTCGGCGATCGTGTCAGCTTCCTGTCTTCTTCTGGCAAAGTGCCTCTCGGCAGCCGAGGAACTGTCGTCGGCCTCAGCCGCACTGCCAACAACCTCCTCCTGGATGTTGTCTGGGACTTGACCTTCATGAGTGGCACGACTCTGGGTGAAAGAGCCCCGCCTTTCCGCGGCATGACAGTCGCTTCCTCCTCGGTGCTCAACACCACCTTCAAGCAGGTTGTCTCTGGCTCCAAGGCTGGAATGCAGCGCAAGCCTGCTCCGGCCCCCGCGTCACTTACGACTGCAGTCACGGGTGTTCCTCAGTACCGAGATGCGCCTGCTCCCGATCGTGGCGCTTGGCGCGGTGGTGCCAACGGTGGCCAGGGTCAGTCTGGCCGCGGCCGTGGTCGTGGAGGCGGCCCCAACTTGCTCCACAGCACCCTTGTCTATAGACCTCATCACAACGGTCAAAACGGCGGAGAGGAGAACCACGAAGCCAACGGTCAAGGTCAGCGTGGCGGAGGCTTCCGAGGCAGAGGACGCGGCCGTGGTGGGCCTATCCAGAACCCTGGCTACTCCGGTCTTCACGAACAGCCGGCTCAGCAGCCTATGTACGGCAACGTGCCGCCCCCAGCCAACCTCGAGGCTCGTGGCAGAGGTCGAGGACGTGGTGGACGCGGAGGACGGGGCCGAGGAGGACCTCGTGGCCGTGGTGCTGCAAATGGGGCACCCAATGGTGCGACTCCCGAGGCTGCCCAATCCTAAGGATACATCGTGCGTTTCCATTTCTACGGTCTCTTTTGGTTCAGCAGATACCCCTTGATGAAGCGACTTGGTTTCTGATAGATGGCAATGGTTTCCAAGAGTTTGTGGAGCATAGAAATGGCATTTACATTGGGGGGTGCATGGTGACGGATCTTTGGTTGTGTTGGCAATTGTCCATCTTGGAGATGGTTGGTCTAGAGTAGCTCGTACGATCAGTCGTCGTAGATAGAATCTGGAGATCAATGCATCAAGATACGTCGTCACATTAGCCCCATTCAGGACATCACTTGCTGTGACAAACTCGGTGAATGTGACATTTCCATCTCAGGATTTTATTCAATTACGCGAAAGTTCAGCTTCCTCACAAAGATCAAGGCTTCTTCTCTTTTACCTTGAGAGCGGGAAGCTTGAAGACCTTGCTAATACCACCCTTGAGTGCCTTCCAGCCGCCAATATCCTGGTTCTGGTTCCACGTCAAGATGCCAACCCACGGTTGAACGTTGTAATGCAGCTTCAGGACGACCTTGTCGGCTTCGGCGATCTTGCTCGAGGGGTGGGTGATTTGGTACTTTGGTTTCTGGTTCTTGATGTGAAGTTTGCCACTTTGAAGTTTTGTCAGCCTCTTGGTATGGTCTACGTATAGGAGAGCTAGGTCTTACCGGTTGGGGTCGATGCTCTTGCCCTCGGCGCTCTTTCTCAGCTTGCGCATGGCGGCGGGACCAATGTTGGCGAGGTGGTCGGAGCTAGGGGCGGTGATGATCTGGTCCCAGATGACGGCCTGGTTCGTGGCGTTTGTGCCGGCGGCTTTCTTTGAGCTATCGGGCCATTCTGCCGTGACGTAGACGAAGACCTGCTTGGTGTTCCAGGTGAAGAGCTCTGAGAGGTCGGCGTCGAGGGAGAACTTGATGATGGCGTACTCTTCCTTTTTTGGGGAGTAGTAGTGGGGGCGTCCCTTTACGACCTGGACATTTGTGGTCTTTAGGGAGCCGACGGAAGGGGCGCGCGGGGTGATGAGGTCGGAGGCGGCGATGAAGGCGGCGACGAAGAAGGCTACCGTCGTGAAGAAGCCAAAGGTGTTTTGGGCTCGGGTGAGGGTGTTGTACATGGTGACGAAACGTGGCGACCCTGTGGGGTGCTGCTGTTGCCTGGTCGGAGAAAGAATAGAAGGCTCGTCAGTAACTGGATTGCATGAAGGGAATGGGAAGAGCAGAAAAGTGAAGCTTTTGTTCGCGATCAGATGCGACGTGGGAGGCCACGTTTGGGGGAACAAGCTTCAGCCTTGCGGAGCTGGAGATGTGGCTTTAGCGCTATTGGTCGCAGCTCCAGCTTGTGAGGTCCCCTTGGAGGAGGTACCTAGGTACGAATACGTCCCCCCGGTTAGAGCTAAGGAACCTACCGAACCGGTGGTGTGGTCTGTGGGGCTGTAAACGGCTCTTATGGTGTATACTTGACGGGCCCAGCATGTGAGGTGAATGGCATATACATGCATTCCACCTCGGATTCCTTGATACAGTGGATGTTCCTCATCGGGTTCTTGTTCATCTGCTTTCACCTTTCTATAAGATGCAGATTATGCAGCTAGATTTCCCTCACCTCTGTCCTCATTGTGACTACTAATAGTAAGGTGGGCAATGTAGATCGAAGCTAAGAAGATGGTAGGAAAGAGACACGGCACTTTGCTCTAGTTGTCTCCTTCATGTACGTATCCATGTCCCGCTTTGCATATTCACCTCAAGTGCCTCACCTTTCCTCGTGGTCTTCACTCTCCTCTTCCAACCTCTCGTTATGCCGCTTACAATGCTCTTTATCAGGTCAGTCAGGCTGGGCCAAGAGTAGAAGCTTGCGCATTTCCATTGCAACTGCCGCGGTGTTCAGTTCTAAACTCTTCTTCTTCTTCTTCTCCCTCCCGCTCCCACTACGTAATCCCTGACCTTCTTCTCCTCTAACAATTCTTTCGATACCTCGACTTACAGCGATGCAATATGGCACCCAAAAGAGAACCAGAGTCGATCCGAATTGAAGACGAGAATCCGGTACGTTAAATTCCCTGGCAATATACCTACCTACGTTCTCCAACTTGTGGTCACGCTCCTCTCGTTTCTTCTCGGCTTAAGCGGCTGGGATGGTGGGGGAACACTTTCATTCGAGAAGGCAAGTGCCTCCCGGCGGATGTCGCGCTCCGGCGCGCTGGGTTTAATGGAGTGGATCCCGTCAGAGCTGCCCACGTCGCACACAGCCCAGGCCCCGCCGCCCCGGGGCTACGACGAGACTTCCAGGTTGCAAATCCGCTTAGTTCCAGCGCGTGTCAGCGGGTAGCACTGCACCTTTTTTCTTCTCTCCAGCGTCCCTCGGTGCCACCAAAATTTCGAGGTGAACCCCGTGGATGCAGGGCCAGCCTTTGCCTCTAGACCCCACTGCTAACCGCACTTTCGTGACCGAAGCAGGAGCGTGTGATCCCTCCTTCACCCTCACCTTTTAGAGCCGTGAGATCTCCCTGCGATGAAACGTCACAAACGGGCGCATCTTCGTCTTTGTCCGACTTTCTTGCGCCCTCTTCCACTCCGACCGATACACCTCGAGCCCATACCCCGAGACTAAGGTCTGCCGCAGAACACACCGAGGACGGAGCTCTGGAGAAGACTGCGCATGCGGCAGAAGGGGCGATTGGGACTGAGGAGAGAGCCAAGCAGGCTGGTTCCCAAGTCACACATGTCTGTTCCAGTCGAGATACTTTCATGAAGAAGAAAGAACGAACGTAAGCGGCCGCGCAAGCTCTCTCTTCCAGCAGTACTTGAATTGACCTGGCTGGGCTTTTGAACAGTCAATCCGAGGTGCTCCTAGAACGATTCCGCGACGCCACCTGCCATTCGTTTCCCAATTTCGGGTATATCTCGATCTGTACAAGCAAGAGCAAAGAGACACTCCTGACAACTACTATTGTAGGACCTCGAAAGACGGAGTTCCCGTTCCGGATCCAATGGTGAGCTCGCCTAATAAACAGGCCAGTCGCTGGAACTGATGATGGTACAGAGTGCAACAAGAAATAGAACTGTGTTGAATGGCGGCCTTACCGGTGGTTTCAACAATCTCTCGAAAGACTCCAGCAAGAGACAAATCACAGAGCCACTGAGAGTAGCCAAACGTCAAAAGACAGGACCAGAGACTGCTGCAGCGACAGACGTCTCAGCACAGGCTGCCTTTCTAACGCAGGGGTTCGCCCCGCCACCGACGTCCTTATCCCTCTCACCGCAGACGCCCACATTGGTCGACTTGACGAATTCCCAGCAGTCGGGAGACGGTGATGCGGCTAGCATCCGCAGCACGCACTCGATAAACTCGACTGCGAACGGAAGCGAATTCAGAGACGTGGAGAAGGTGCGCAACGGTGTCGGCAAGAAATCTGGCAGTCGTCCACGTGGCCGAAGACTGCATGTCAGAGGATCAAAGAAGCCCGAGGGCTATGACTGCGATATCGAGGATGAGATCGTCCAAGACCACCCAGTACAAGACAGGCGGCCTCGTGGAGAATCGAGAGAAGGTCTCAGGAAAAAGCCTTACCGTCAACCCCCGAGACGTGGTGCAGATGACATAACAGAGGTCTCGGAGGACGACGAGCTTGCCTTTCAGACTGGGCGTAGTCGCCGAGCAGGAGATGACATCTCGGACGATGATGGAAAGTCGCCAGTCGCAACCGCCACGAAACGGAAGCGAGGAGATATGACCAACGTGAAATTTGAACAGTCGCATCCGGCCATCCCCAGGAACCTTGTCCTCAAAGTCGCTCGTGCCGTGTCAGGGAGAGACGCCTTCGAGGCCAAGAAGCCAGAGGAGTGTATTCTTCTGAAGCTCAGCCAGGATAGGAAGAGTCTCGTCGCATTCGATCAGGCAGGCAGACATTATTCGGAGGGAGGGTGGCTGGATGTCAAGTTGATGTTCTGCACAAAAGTATTCTACAGCATCACGGGCACCCAATTCGCGGTAATTTGGAGGTCTTCTGCTCCCAACGTAGGAGGCTTACTGGTACTCGGCTTTGCCGAACCAGGGGATGCCCACCGCCTTGGGGACTGGGCCGAAGCCAAGGTCAAAACCTTCACTACACAGAGGATCGATTGTTCCCCCAAGGACAGGTATGTATTTCAGCGGCTCATTCTCAATCTAGGGGTGCTAACAAGATAGTAGTGAGTACCTCCGGAAGATTTATGAAAAACAAAGAACGATCGCGGAGAAGTGGGAGGTCAAGAAAGACTCTCAGCCCGATGACATTAAGCTGTTGGAACACAAGGAGGCCATCAAGACCGCAGCGAAAACAACGTCTGTGCCGTGGACTCAGTCGAAAACAAGTCCCCCGAGCAATCAACCACTTCGCGGTAACATGAGGGCCGAAGACTCATCGCGTCCATCGAAACCCGAGATTACGCCATCACGTTCTTCGAACTCGGATACTACGAAATCTGCCTACTTCGCTCTCGCCCGCTATGATACCGGGACTGAGTCTCGACAGACCAAGGAATTGCCGCCCAGAGAAGCAAGAAACACCGCCTCCAAACGGCTCCAGGAGTCTCCTCTTAGTATCATCAAGCGCAAATCCCCCAGCCCCGTTTCGTGGATACAGCAAAACCCTGACTGGGACAAGATATGGAATGAGAAACCGCTCATTTTCCCTGCTACGGGCAAGAATAGGGCGTCAGTCTATCGTGATGACATTTCGCGGCTAGAGGAAGGAGAATACCTAAACGACAATCTCATTGGCTTCTACCTACGCCACCTTCAAGTTCACCTAGAAAGGGAGAACAAGACACTATCCGACCGGATCTACATCATGAACACCTACTTCTATCCAAAACTGACCGACACTAAAGCGGGCCGGGGCATCAACTACGAGGGAGTCAAGTCGTGGACTGCAAAAGTCGACCTTTTCTCCTACGACTACATCGTGGTTCCCGTCAACGAGAGTGCTCACTGGTATCTAGCAATCATTTGCAATCCATCCAAGTTGCTCAACACAGATGACGACGAACCTGAGATAAAAGACGCTCAATCTCTAGATGAGCACAAAGAATCAAAGGAAACTTCTCAAGAGAAGCTCGTGGGACCCTCGTCGGAAGAAGGCATGGTATCTACTGTTGGCGAGCAAGTCGAGCAGATGAGTCTAGACGAGAGCCAACCTAGCGAACAGAAGAAGGAAGAGCCAAGGCCCGGGCCTGAAAAGAAGGAGAAGGGTCCGCCTACGAAGCAACGTCAATCACGCAAAAGCATAGGAATTGCTTTTCGGAAACAGGATCCCACAGAAGCCAGAGTCATCACTCTTGACTCTCTTGGCGTCGGGCATTCCCCTACCTGCGGCAACCTGAAGGCTTACCTCGTCCGAGAGGCCCAAGACAAGCGCAACATGGAAATTGAACCACCTGGAACCTTCGGATTGACAGCAAAGAAAATCCCTGAGCAGGAAGATCACGCAAGTTGTGGTGCATATCTCCTTGGCTACATGCGGGAGTTCCTGAAAGACCCTGACGGCGTGGTTACCAAGCTAGTTCGTAAGGAGCGGCTAGATTGGGACATCACGTCCCCTGCGATGCGAAGCGAACTACGCACCATCATCATCGAACAGAGAAAACTACAGAACGCCACCTTGGCGGCAGAGAGAAAAGCTAAGCGCAAGTCTACTGGACAGCCGGTCACTCCAGGCAAGGTGTCAGATGAATGTCACGAGAACGAGCCTGCGCCGCCAAGAACTCCTCAGCCTTTTGTTGTTGATGTGCCAAAGAATCCGTCGTCTACTGTCAAAGGATCTCCGGCTACAGGCCTGCCGCCCACCAATCGCAGCAGTCCACCGGCGAAGATTGAGGGCAGCGATGCAACCACTCTCTTGGTAGAATCAGAGTCGTCGATCCATGATAAGCCTGTCACTGGGATCGAGCAAGTCTCGGACATCGCTCAACCCGTTGAAGTCGAGCAAGGCTCGGGGGTTGAAAACGCTCAGCGGGTCGAGTCCGGTCCACAACATACCGCAGCTTTTGCACCTGGCCCGGCAGTCGAGCGTCCCGTATTACCTGGCGACACCGTTCTCCCGACCAACGAACAATGCGACGTGATGCGATCCCTCGTGGACAGTTTGGAGCCGCCAGCGACGCCAATTCGGGAGGCATCGCGCACCGGCAAATCAACTGGGGTTCAGCTCAGAACCAGCCCTCGTCATTCAAGAACCAAGGCGGTTGAGGTGGAAGAGATTTCAATGCTGCCTGCACTTAGATCAACGCCGGCTCAGTCTTCCGAGCAAATAGCACCAGACTCTCGAGGTCCGAAAAAGAAACTGGGCAGCAATCAAAAGATGCTGCAGCCACTTGCGTCTTCACCAGCCCAGTCTGCTGAGCAAAGAAAGGCAGGTGTCCGGGCTCTTAAGAGGAAGCCCAGTAACAGTGAGCAGTTACTATTGAATCTGTCTTCTCCACCGCCCAAGGCTGCTCGCAAGGATGAAGAGACTGATCCCCAACCCCCAAAAGGTGACTCGCCGAGTGAGCAACTGCTGGGTGAATTGCAATCCTCCAGCGAGTCGATGCCAAGGCAGAGTCACAAGTCCGGGAGGGATGTTAAAATACAAGAGGGCATCATTATCCAAGACCCAGAACCCCCAAAGACGTCGCCACGCACGCTGACGGAGACTCCCGCACAGAAGAGTTCTTACTTTGAGGCTAGATCCCCGCCGAGATCTGCTAGAAAGAGGAAGCAACTCTCTCCGCAATACCCGAGAGCAAGGGATCGAGCGAGGCCGAGCATCGAAAAGGATACAGAGAGCTCACGCAACAAGATCGAGGGACCCGCGAATGGCTCTGAGACGGTGGATCTTACCGTGAACTGAGCAGGAGAAGAATCATGATACCCCTTTAAGTAACGATTGAGGAGCGGCGGAGACGAGGAAGCGATTGGATCTGTCGTGGAGGTCGGCAGAGGAGAGATACAGCGGTCGTTTCCTGGTCTGGTTGGCGCGAAGGCGTTTGTCCAAATAGTGTGTAATGGCATAGCTATACCCTCATACCCATAGAACGTTGCATGGCGTCCAAAGCACATCAATAAAGAGAAAGACAATTTTTCTCGAAGAGTGGCTGCAATTTTTACGTCGCTTTGACAGAGAGTAGAGGCTCATCTCGTAGTTCGTACATTGTGGTACAAGATCCTCTATAAGTACTTTTCCCCCAAACGCCCCTCTTCCCCGAAGGGAACATCTCTATATGCTTTTCTTTACTCGCTTCCCGAATCCGATGCATCATTATGGTTGCCGTTGACTTCCGGCTTTTTCAACACTTTTGGCACCTCAAACACGTATCCTCCGTTCTTGGCGGTGCCCTTGCGCATCTGCCACCTACCCAATCTGTGCTCTTTGCCTACCGCAGCTACAACACAGATGCCATCCTGCCCGCGCTCCCCGCGTTCAAAGATGGCAATATCGTTGATCACGCCCTTCAAGCCGCCAGCGGCACCTTCTGACTTGCCCTTGGCGGCCTTCGAGGCCTGCTGCTCGGCTTCTGATGTGAGAACTCCCGCCTCCTCGAGCTTCCTCTTGTCCTCACTAAGACGCCATACTCTTATGCAGCCGTCCCAGCTGCCGCTAAGGATGACGTCCGAGTACGGGATGGACTTGAGCGCCGTGATCCACCGCGGTTGCGGCGGCGGCACGATGCTGGGATCTGGGTTGTGGTCGGCCGAGACCTCGTCTGGCCGGAGGGGCTGTTCCAGGCCGTGGGCCATGGGGGTGATGTGAAGGGGCTTCTTTTTCGTGACACTCCAGAGGGCCAGGGAGCCATTGTCGCTGCCGGTGACGAAGAGCTCGTCGTCGATCATGGCCACGCGGTCCATGCTGCCCTCGTGCGGGAGGGAGCGCGGGTCGACGTCTGGGCGGGACTTTTTGTCCACCGCGCCGCCGCGGAAGACGAGCTGCGTCTCCTCTGCGACCTTCCACAGGCGTGCTGTCCTGTCGCGGGCACCCACGCTCACGCAGCGCTCTTGGGCGAGGGCGTCAATGTCGACAATCTCGTCTTGGTGGCCGAATAGCGTCTCAATGTAGGCGAGCTCGTCCAGACTCCAGACCTTAACCGTGCGGTCTTTCGAGCACGAGTAGAGCTGGTTCGTGCCGCGGCGGAATGCGAGACCCGTGACGGCGTCGCGGTGGTGGGTGAAGACGCGAAGGGGCTTGAGTGTCTCGGCGTCGTAGATGATGAGCCTGCGGTCCTGGCCGCCCGTGACAACATATTTGCCGTCCGGCGACGCCGCGACGCAGAGTATCTTTTCGACGTGGCGCTGGTACGACTTCTTCTGGGCCTGGGCCAGGTTGCCCCTCAGCCAGTTCTCGAGCTCGGGTCTCTTGCGCGGCGGCGCGGGCGGCTTCTTGGGCTTCTTCTTGGTCGTCTGCGGGAACTGGTGCTGGGGCAGGTCCTGTATCCTCCACTTGTGCAGGTACATGTCCTTTGTGGTGGTGTAGGCGTAGGGCGCGTTGACGGCGACGGAGGTGAAGGTCTCGGTGTTGTTGCGGAAGAAGGACGAGGTCGCCCGGTCAAAGGCGAGCTCGTCGGCGAGGGTGCGGTAGACTTTTCCCTTGGACTCAGCCACGTCCTCTTGTAACCTCTCGTTGATTAAGTCGCGGTCAATGTCGGCGGCGTCGAACCCCACCTCGTCCACCTGCTGCTTGACGTTCTCGAGGTAGCGCTCGGCGAGCCTCAGCCGGCGCTCGGCAGCCGTCTCGCCCGCGCCGCCTTCGTCGTCGGAAGACGAGCCATTGTCGCTCTCCTCGGGGGCGGAGGCTATGCTCTCGATGTCAGAGTCGCTGCCCGAGATCGATTCGTCGTCGTCATCGCGCTCATTTCGCTTCTTGGAGGCCGGTGTTGACGCTGCCGTCTTCTTGCCTCTGCTGCCGCCTTTGGCCGGTGCAGCAGATTTCGGAGGGGCTCTGTTAGACGTCTTTGAGGCGGCAATTCGCTTCTTGGGGGCCGCGGGGCCGTCTGTTCGCTTGCGTTTCTTGTTGGCGCCGGGTATCGTGAAAAAGGACGACATTGTGGGCGGTAGAGAGAGCGCGGTTCGCTGTGCTTTGCCTGGGAATCTGGGCAATCAACTTTCCGTCCTGGCCCGCCTACACTGACGATATTTTTTTTTTCGTCTGGCTGCTCGAGGTGGGCTTCCCAGAAAAAAAAAGTTCGGTGGGTACGTATCTCGGAGAATCAAAAGTCAGTGTGGGGTATATATGCACCCAATCATGAGCCAGCTGACCAGGGGTGGTTTTTCCGTGCGGGCAGCGGTCAAGCTAGGCAGAATCCACCTAGGACGGCTCATCTGTTCAGGCTGTAGCTTGACTGCGCGTTCCGGGGGTAGCTCTCGAAGTCAGGCCGAAGGCTGACGAACCACTTACATTCAACACCAACGAACGAAACATCACCAATTTAACCCCCCACAACAAAACCAAGTAGACAATAACCAGAACAGCAGCCAGAATGTGAGATACCAGCTTCCCGATTCTCTAATTATGGGAGATGCAGTAAGCTAATATGGAGTGCGATTGGCAGGGAGGTACTATTGGGTATCACGGGCAAGGACTTCACCATCATTGCAGCTTCCAAAGCTGCCATGCGTGGTGCAACGGTCCTGAAGACTGCCGACGACAAGACGAGATCGCTGAACAAGAACACACTGATTGCATACTCTGGAGAGTCTGGTGACACCGGTTAGTCTCCTACATCATGGAGCTCCAACCCCGCCGGAGATGGAGGGGCGAGCATTGCTTCCAACCCCTCCGACTCGGCTCGGTCACGATATGCGAGCTACGATTTACTGACCTGGGCTTGATGATACTTAGTGCAATTTGCCGACTACATCCAAGCAAACTCCCAGCTTTACTCGATGCGCAATGAGACAGACCTCTCCCCCTCCGGCCTCGCCAACTTCGTTCGTGGCGAGCTTGCCTCGAGCTTGCGGTCGCGGAAGCCGTACAACGTCAACCTGCTCCTTGGCGGTGTCGACCCCATCACACAGAAGCCCGCGCTGTACTGGCTGGACTATCTTGCGTCGTTGGCGCCCCTCCCATATGCCGCCCACGGCTACGCACAGTACGTTGACCAGCTCTGGAGGCTTCTTCGTGCAGCTACTTCAGCTTCGCAGCCAACCTTCCGAATGAGGACCAAGGAACATTTTGGGCTAATACGATGATGCGAAACAGATACTACTGCTTGTCAATCCTCGATAAACACCACCACCCCGATATCACACTCGGCCAGGGCATCAAGATCCTCAACCTGTGCACCGACGAGCTCAAGAGACGGTTACCGATCGACTTCAAGGGCATGACGGTCAAGGCCGTGACCAAGGATGGTATTGTCGACATAGAGTTCGACGACGACAAGGTGGTGAAGGCTGCCTAAGACGGCTGACTTGCGGATGCGATCACGGGAAATGAGGGGCCTTTTGGGACTATGGTGTGAGAGAGCATCAAAGAACAAGAGAAAGAGAGGCCAAAACCAGCAAAACTGTACTACTAGACCGGGCTGGTAATTGATACAGGCATCAGTTCTATCACGACGAAACGCCATTCCTGGAGAGACATTGTTCCGTGCTTCATCTGTGGCTGAACAACTCGAGTGTCTCAAAGCGAGAACTGAATAAGGAATGCTGATGTGATGCAGGATGGGACCATCGGCACGGGAAAATAAGGAACGGCATTATGAATGAAGACGCGGGATCATGCCATCCTGTTCCGGTCAACACAAGGCAGTCCCAATTTCGGGCTTGACCGTGCTGGATAGCAATGTGATGGTGACCGTATCAGCCTACCGTTGTAGTGGTAGCGACTCATTCAGTCCTGGTAAATAACCTAAACGGGAAGCGAGGGGAGGGTGGTTTAGTTCAAGCGGTGAGGTCACGGTTTGCCATGAGTAGGCACGGTTCCAGGAAGCCATCCATGGGTTCTGAAACGGGTGCCGGACCGCTCACTCTTCAGAAGAAGCAGCGGTCGGAAATGCTCGAATCGTTCGTTCCTTTGCCCTTTTCAACTAGGAAGTCTTGCGCTTCAGCCGAAATCCAAAGGGTCAAACCCCCAACTATAGACCTCGTCCAATCTCTCGCGTGTTTTATAAGGATGTTGTCGGTTGGACTGATGGGTAGGGATGTGATGTGATTGACTGGGCGGATGATGTTCCGGCCGGTCGACCGATCCATAGGTTCAAACACACTGAGACCTGGACCCGATGTACGTACCGTTGTACCTCAAACCCCCGGGCGTTTGACTCGCGCCTTTTCCCTTTTGACCCTTCAGACCTTGGATGTTTCCCTGTCTTTTTGGTGGCTGACTAGTCGCGCATCGATTCTTTATTGGTTTATGGATGGCAATTGGCGGGTTCGGCGGCTCCGATGTTGTTCGACGACGACGACGCTTAAAGCGATTTTTTTCCCTTTCCCTTTGCGGTGTTTGGCCGGTGTTCTACGCAGGCACTCCCATTCGAATTTCACAGTGATATTTTGTGTCCAGTGTTATCGAAATTTTAAGAGACTAGTGCACAGCCACTCGAAGGGCTCTGCGAAAAGCGAGGTTTTGGCGGCGCCCCCACGGTATGACGTCTTTTGGTACTTTCAGGCGTGGTCTGGAGTTTCTATCCACACGAAGTACGAATACTGAGGTTCGTCCTGAGGAGTACGCATCCTTTTTCTCTTCGAAATCAGCCTGTTGGTGATGAACGCCGCCAGGATTCAAATACCAATGGCAGCAGTGTGCGCACATAGATGGAAGGTTTGAGGTGCCCATAAAAAGGCCTTGTCTCAATCATTCGGTTTGTGGTCACGGTGCAGTGAGATCTCACCAAGCCAGACCTTTTCTCCCACCAT